ACATGCATAATTCATCATATATATATATATATATACATACACACACACATAAGTGTTTATACATGTATTCTATTTGTATAATTAAATAAAAAAATTATGTCAAAAAGAGTTCAAAGATGGAGGGCACCGATTCTCGAGAGTAAATGATCAAAGCCAACTTGTAACCTAACTCCTGTCTATTAGAATATTTTCTCTAATTCTAAAGCAAATGATTTACCTTAATGACGAAATTAATCTATGATTCGTAAATATTTTAACTGTTATAAGAACAAAAAAAAAAAAAAAATGAATAGAGTGAATTGTAGAATTAATTAGCTAATAAAAATTAATTAGTCAAATTAGAGATTATTAGTGAATCAATATTTCTTTAGATAGAATGTGAAATGTAAAAAGGAATTTTGCATGTGGGATATGGAAATTGAGGTCAGGTTCAAAGTCTTTAGTGGAATATTTATTTATTTAAATTAATAAATAAATAAATTCGACTGAAAAATGGTACAAAAATTAATTACTTTATGGATAGGACTAGACGTGGATATATGCATTCAATCGCGTCCAAAAGATGTATGGGATTGCTTTTTAGCATGTTGCGAACCCTAAATAAACCTTTTACACGTACTTATGTTCTCATTATAATCCTTACATAGGATTTATGATTTGACTACATTATACACACACACACACACATATATGTGGATATTAAATTAAAAAATTATTTGTTTATATATTTTTTTTTATATAAAATAACCTGGAGAGAATATGTTTAAATTAAGAGATGCAATTTTCAAAAAATTAAGCTCATATATTTAGTTATTTGGTGCTACCCGTAAGCATGAGGAAAATATTCTGTAACGACTCTAAAAATTTAAAAGAAAATGCATATAATAATTTGAATGTAGAAGTGAAATAAAAATTAAAGTTAACATTTATTATACGATAACTTAAAATTATTAAACAAACATCACGGAATAAATTCTATAAAAAGAAATACGAGAAATGGAAAAAATAAAGGAAACTATAAAGCATCTACCATCTACTCGCAGCATTCTTCCGGATCAGGCTCGAGAACCAGGTTCTCCTGATCTGAAATGGTTAAATAAGGAGTGAACTACAATAATCCAGTAAGAACATCACACTATGTCGCCGGCACAGAAATAAAGATTGTTAAAAAACTAAAAATAACCAATAGAGTACTAAATTTAAATAAATTCGTTTATCATAAATAAAATCATTTACAGTTCACTTACCAGTGTGGAGTTTATGAAAACAATCTATAAAGATAATAACATCATGCAGATCATAACTTCATGTATAATCAGTAATATAAAACATATCATAAATTTATATTCATTTACAATAACTAATCATCATCGTTCTTCGTTTCACCAGCCTACTAGTATCCATGGGGATCCATAGGAGTGTACCCATTACACGTGAACCATTTCCTATGACAAGCTTAATTTCAGGGCCGTCCCTATAGCCCGTCCGATATGAGCACCAAGGCATTAAACCTCAATACTCCGTCCGGTATGAGGGTGAAGTGGGTCCTCCCCATACTCCGTCCGGTATGAGCGTCAAATGATTAAGTCTTCATACCATATCCGGTATGAGACAACATTCACGGTAGGGTTCCCTATGAACCCAGTCCGTCCACCATATCTCAGGATATTGAGTGAGACTGTCACGTTATCTGTTTATTAGATCACATCCCTTTCCTGTTTATCCTTAATCTCCATTACTAAATTAAACACAACCACATAAACAATAAACATGCACCTGGTAATACAATCATATCTTAAATTCTAAAATTATACAGTGGTCAAGTAGTACATTAATACATGCATTTAAAACTTTAAAACCAGATATCATCATACCTTTAAACTGTAAAATAAATCAACAAGAATTAACAAAGAACAATGTCCGATTTCAGGCTCCATTACCAATCCGTAATTAATTATGCATATTTATCTAATTTATACAAAAGACCGTATTATTATTTATTCAAACTTTACATATATAATAGAAAATAGGTTGATGGGTCTTTATCTGATTTAACGTCGAAAACTAAATGGTTACTGCGCCTATGGGTGGTCCCTAGGTTCCCTGAATTTTTCTTCGAGAACTGGAACGGGCTTACAGTACCTACAAATGTCCTAAATAAACCTAAAATCAGTCCCAGGGCCTACTCGGCCAATTTCAGAAATCCGGAACAGCGGCTCTGCTGTGCTCTGGCGACCTGCCTCGGGTTGGCTGTTTTCGACCGAATTCAGTCAAACTTGCATCGGTTCTTGCGAGAAAATACACTTAGAGCCATCGGTGAGAAAAAATGTAGAAAACCGAAACTCACTAACGGTGGGGTTCTCCGATGCGGCGGCTCCTCTGGCTCACGCTGCGGTTGAGTGTTTTACTTCGATTAACTTGTAGAGAAGGAAACAGTGATCACAACGGTGGAAAAATCACATCGAACGAAAATCGGGAAGGGCCTCATCGGAGGCTTTTTTTGAAACACCCCGCAGCGGCGCCGCCGAGCTTCGGCGACATTTTTCGGCTAATTAGCTGGTTCTTTCACTTCGATTTGGCCATGGGTGGGTTTAAAATTGAATTTCGTGCAAGAGGAGAAATTTTTACCTCGTTTGGTGGTCGAAAATTGCTCCGGTGCGGCGACAAGTGGCGGCAGTCGGCTCCCCGGCGGCTGGGTTGTCTTCTCCAGTGAAGGGCTCTGCCGGCTAAGGTTAGGATTTGAGTGCGTATGGGGTTATTTATACCCATCCACTTTTGATCTGGACCATCCATCGCTTTTAATCTGGACCGTTCGATCGCGATTAAATAAGGAGAGAATATAGACCGTTCATCGTGATTCAATCTGAGCCGTCCGTTTGCGATTCAATTTAGGTCGTCTGTGCGCGATGTAATCTGGGCTGTCCGTGTGCGCGAGAACGGATCTCAACCGTTCGATCGGGCGCACGCGGATCGCCCATATGACTCCCCCTGCATGGCCTCCCGCATAAACGTCTCTGCCACCTAGCACGTCCTGGTTGGTCGGGGCTGCTGACCGAGCATCTAACGTGACATAACTTTTCTAAATTGTATTTTGATCCCCGGTATCTGATTTTTCTTTCAAAAATACTTTTAGAACCAAAATTTTCACCCATTTTGTTCAAAATTATTTTCAATTAAATTTTTAACTAATTTTTTAACCTTATTATTATTATTAATTAAAATAAAATAAAATAAAATAAATGTTGGGTGTTACATATTCTCACTATATTGCTTAGTATATATATATATATTTAAAATATTTACGCATATTTTATTTTATCATTTTCAATATAAAAAGCTATTATATATATATTTAATATTTTACAATCTTGTACTAGAATTCTTTAAAATTATTTCATGATAACATATAATTTTTGTTTTAATTAATTACGAATTATTATTATTATTGTTGTTAAGTATGAAATTATTGTACTTAAAAGATGTCAACAGAATTAAAAGTTTTTAATATGTGAATATTTTCGTTAAAATAAAAGTAACATATATTAAGGTTATAAAAAAAGGTCAAAAAATAAAAAAGATTAAAACTGAAAGCTTGCAATATTTTTCTCAACTAATTAAGTTTTATTATTTCACTAATTAAATTGATTAGTAATTTTGACGTCAACAGAATTTTTTAAGGGCTCCACACACAGGTATCGACATGGATAGAGATTTTGCCTTGGAATATCTGAAAGAAATCTTGGCGCCCTAAACATAAAGACAAAACAAAAAAAAAAAAAGGACAATTGATTAATTACGAAGAAAATCTGGTTTAAGGAGCTGATAATTAAGTTTAAATTACCCAGATCCCTAAATTTAGAGATTTTAATTTTAAGATTGTTATTTACCACTTATAAAATTTTTTAAATAAATTACTCTAATTTACCTATTTTAGTTTAAATTCAGTTAATTTATTTATCTTACTAAAGTTCTCTTAAAATCAACACAGCTATTATAATGTACGCAATTAATATTTATAGTAATACATACTTACTAGTTACTAATTGCTTATTCTTACAATCAAATATCATACATTAAACCATAATTTTTCTTTGAACACCATACTTCTCTAAGCTATTTGCTTATTTCTTGTGGATAGAAATAAGAAAAACTTACCCAGATCCAATATTTCCTAGAGCTAAACTTACTACTAAAAGAATATAAAAGTCAAAGTTGGGTTCTGTAATTGTTTTAAAACTAGATCTACTTAAATTGGAACACTAACTTGACGTATTGACTACTAAATGTGTAACATATAAAAAATCTGGTTTTAAATATTTTTGGAAATATACAATTCTTTTGGTACGTAGGAAATATATAAGTGACTAGTTTATATTTGATCGGATGTATTTAATAATTTACATTGAAATTCAAATTTTTGTTAGATTTTTCAATTCAAACTTTATAACTAGAGCCAATGAAAAGATTATTCTCCAATATGAATCAATAAAAATATATTAAAAATAGAATAAAAAAGCAAACTTAATGAGTAATAGCATGAAACTTTCTGCTTAGGATTAGATCCTGATGTTATGGGAAAAGAAAAAAACAAATTTCTGCTGAGTCATTATTGATCAATTATCATGAATTGGGTTAATCATAAGTTCTTACCACATGTTAGTTGTTTAAAAGAGTGAAATAAAATTCAACCGTTACATATGTAACACACATTCCTTTCTACATCACACCAAATCATCAAACGCACTGAATCAGTGATCACCATGGTTGACGATTCAGTGACCTTAAAATCACTACCCGCAGATTACAAAAGCTTCAAAAATTATGGACCCCATACGACCAAAAAACTAATTATGAAGACAAAGTTCATGTTCAAGTTCAATGTACTCAAACCCACCACTATTTTCAAATCAACAAACGATATGTGCATGTGCAGTATATTGCAAACTTCTAAAACACTCCATACATGGATAGCTATATCAACGTGCTTCATATGGGCTTAAAAAGGGTTCTCTACTGTAGATACTGAGGCTGTGGCTTAACTTGTTGAATACTTCAAATTGCAATAAGATCACTACAACCATGCTTATCAAAGTGAAATAAAATAAACCAGGTGATTTACATCAAATATTCTTTTCAATCATCAGCAGTTGATGATGAAAGATCTGCAAGAGATTTCTATTCTTACTGTCATGATCTATATGGCAATGTGACATAGATTATATCTTGAAAGTCGGTGGTGCATAAAGATCAATCCCTATAGTTGCCAAACAATAAATGCATGAGGTCATTAGACTCGTTACCTCTTCTTCCCCTCCTTATCTTGTGTCCCACAAGAATCTCAAGATAGTTCTCTGAAACAGTTTTGAAATATTAACATAAAAGTGCTGCCAAAAATAATCTAGAAATTCAGTTCAAGACAAAAAAAAGCGTGCAACAACATGGATAATGCAATATATATGAAGGCCAAATTTTTGAATGCGTAATCGTGGTACGGGAACAATTTTCTTTTCTTTTCTCACCTGATTTTGGATGCTTAGATAAGTTTTCACATTTTACTTGGATAAAAGATTATATGGAGTACCTAACCTCCTTTCAAAATGAGGGGGGTGGGTTTGAATTCAACAAATATCACATTAAATGGGAAGGAGAAGGAACAAATCAGATGGATAATTGAGAAAAAGGTAAGAATTTATCACTTAAAAGCTACATAAGCATGGACAAAAAATGTTACTGTCATCATGTCAAGAGAAATCTTTCGTTCTCTGAAACAAGTGAAAAAAAAAAAAAACACTGCTTACTGAAAATATACAACACAATTATATAATAACAAAATTAATCGCATAATCAATTAGATGAAAACTTAGGTTAAAATTAATCTCATAAGGAAAGCAAAGGTTAAAATGAATAAGATGAAAACTCCAACAAAGTTGTTAGGAAATTAAAATGAACAAGAAGTTGCAGGGTGATTCCTTGTGCCATTCAAGGATGTGGTAAGAATTTTTTAACAGAATGTAAAATGTTAAGTTTCCCCTGCACCTCTGCCATCTTTTTTCACTCTAGTCTTAAAGCTGCTTTTCCTCTGCAAGCTTTGCTTTGAAGCTAATCCTCGTTGGAATCTACTTATTGCAAGAAACAGGAAAACCGTTTTGCCTGTTTTCATCTTTTTCGTTGTAAGTATTAAAATATTTTTTTATATACAGCATTCAGAATTTAAGATAATTTTCAACCACCAAAACTATAAATCCTGCTACTTATAATAAAAAATTACAATAACCAGCGATAACTTCATGATTACTACTACTCGTCAGTAATAATTGATCAGATCATATTACAAGTTCGGACTCCAAGTGATTTACTTCCTGACAGAACCGGATGCATAAGTAGCAGAAAAGCCTATCTTGGTAAAACACAAATCTATTACATCCGGTAATTTCCAATAAGTCATCTGCTCATCCACAGCTAATCAATGTAGAATATACTTCCTATAACTAACAAGGCAAGATAGCGCCTCTAAGTCATCAGTATAACTTTTGACTTTGATATAGTGGCTCCACAAAGAAAGCTGAGCTAAAAAGAATTCTACAAAAGCCTAAAATATTCAGTTGTTATTACACTATTAGTGGCTTAAAATCCTATTCAGTGACTATTCATGCCATTGCTTTCAAATCATTCCTTTACAACAAATAACCAATTATCATCAATATTCTACCATAAGAGATAGAGAGAGGAGAGAGAGCGAGTGAGAGAGAGATCTTAAATTAGATTCAATTAATGCATGTAATTTCTTAAAATCCAAAGGTTAGGAATCCAAGTGAGTACATGAACTTTGAAAACTGGATAAGGAAAAAAGAGAAGAAAAAAAAAACACTTTGAAATCCCAAGTTCCATTACGACTCAAATCATTCTGTGAGTTTTGACTAAGAACCATTCTTTGAAAACAACTGCATAACACTTCCTCCTAAACAGAAAAAAACAAAATAGGAAGTCTTCAGATTTTGTCCTAATTTAGAACTCAATCCATGTCATCTTCATCAATGACATAACTGAGTTGACTTCAAACGTCCTAACCTAGTTCTTGTCGAAATGAATTTTCAAATTTGATGGCTCTCGTAATGTCTCTTTACCATTTACCAGATGCAAAGTCACAGATGGACCATTCATAAATCTTAATTTCATTCACGACCATGCACAAAACTGCATAGAACAGTAACAAAACAGCTACCCGAATATCCTAAACATGTTGAAAAAATTACATACATACAATGACTAACCAATGCTGTACTGATTAGTATATGCGCAATGTAAAATTCTTAATTTTTTGCCTTTATGCAATCAATAATTCAAAAGTTAATTTTTGGTAGCTCTGAGACCCAATGATATTTCTCCTATCTTCTTCCGAAAATTCTGGAATTTCGTTAAGAACAATGTTGTGACTTTTGTTCTTGATTTCCTGAATGATAGAAAATCATGCATCACGCAAAATACACCTTCATAACTTTTGTAAATGAAAAAAGAAAACCAAACAAACCATATGATTATAGGTTGTATTAGCTTATGAAATGTGAGAATGAAATTTGTTTGTGAATCCGAATCTGCATTCCCTGCTGCCTGCTGATCTGATAGCTCTTAAAGTATTCAATTACTTGAGAAAAAACAGAAATACTAAGAATAAGATCCTTCGCTTTAAAGCTAAATATTAGTAAAGATTATGATCGAATAATCCGGCCTTGCTTGGAAAATATGTTATTGAAACTGGGATTTGATGGTGGCTTTGTGTCTCTCATTGTGGACTGTGTTCACATGGTCAAAAGTTTCATACCCTGGACGGGCCATCCATCAAGGAGATCCCCTATCCCCTTATCTCTTTATTTTGTATACAGAAGCTCTCTCAATAATACTATGAAGAGTGGAGATGCAGGAGAAGACTCATGGCATCAAATTGTCCAGGACAATGCCAAAACTTACACATTTGCTCTTTCAAGATGATAGCATAATCTTTCGATCAGCAGATCCTGAAGAAGTGGCATCTATCAACACCATCAAAAAAACATATTAACAAGCATTGTTGGAGATATGCTGAAAAATTGCTGGGAGTAAATTTGGAGGAATATAACAAGTATCTGAGATTCCCAACAGTGATGTGTCAGTCAATCACAAATAGTTTAATTTTTTTAGTGGACAGAGCGGTCAAAGGAGTTCAAAGTTGGAAGATGAACAAACTATCCAAGGTAGGAAAAGAAGTAACGTTAAAAGTTGTGGCTGAAGTGATCTCAACTAATGTTATGAGTATCTTATTACCATTGAAAAACGTGTGTTATCAACTGGAGAAAATAATATAGAGGTTTTGGTCGGAAGAAAAAGAAGGTGAAAGGAAAATTCACTTGTTATCTACCAAGCTCTTGACTCATTAGGGTTTAGCCATGGGGCAGAAGTAAAGTCGGCAGAGGAAAGGAGAGAAGGATGAAAGGGGAGTAGGGAAATGGAAGGAATTTGAGAAAGCTAACTAGATTTTTCACTTATTATTTCTGATATTCCTTCACACGTATTTATAATACCAAGCATTGGTACCTCGACAGACAACCGTACGGTGATAACAATACACTGCCAGTTGTTCCTATGAGCAGATTTGAATATTCCCAGCATAATCTCTGCAATAATAACCCTAAATTGTCTCAACTCTTTTCTTTTATTCATGACATTTCTTGCACCTCAAAGACGAACCTTGTCCTCAAGGTTGATGCGAGGGAATTGCCCTTTAAGGAAGTTCCAGTCTTCCCAATTAGTTTTGTCAGGGCTCCATATTGAGCCTAACACTAGCTCAATTTTCGTTCTTTTGCGAGTATGGTCCTTTGCAGAATCTCTTTGCGCTCCACCTTAACTTGTCTGTCTGAATCCATAATTGGCAGGGAGTTCTCTTCTGGGTTGCCATCTCCTTAATACTTCTTTAGTGGGGACACATGAAATACGTCATGGATCTTGGTTTCTTGAGGCAACTTCAGTCTCTATGCAACTGACCTAATCTTCTGAATAACATGAAATAACCTATAGAATCTGAGGGGCTTATTTTAAACATCTTCAGACTGTTATGCTGTACTGGAGATTAGGCTGTAGTTTCAATAGCAGTTGATCTCCTTCCTTGAATTGCCTCTCGGTTCTTTTGTTGTCCGCAAAATGCTTCATGCGATTCTACGAATCCATAAGCTGTTCCATGAGCATTCAATCCATCACCTGCCTCTCTTCCAGCCATTCTTCAATCTTAGCCACATCGGTGTCTCTGCCTTTACTCTCTATGACTAGTGAAGGTGAGTACCCATACAAGGTCATAAAAGATGACATTTTTAAGCTAGACTGGTATGAACAATCATACTACTACCCTGCAAGCCCTAACCATTTTGACCACACCTTAGGTGTTAGATGCCTTTGCCATGGGATCTAATATAAAGAAGAAAAGAAGAAGAAAAAGGAGACCGAAGTCGAAGGGAATAGGAGATAAATTTTATTTCTTTTTTTGATGATCTTACAAGCATAGAGGGATAGCCTTGTATAGGCTTAAACCCCCCACTGTTTCAAATAAGGATCACGCGGCCGTTTTGGCCCTAGTAGCAGGTGATCGTTGATTTTTTGGTAATCAAAATAAAAGAAACCCTAACCTTAAATGTTTACAAAAGGATCATTTCGTCCATTTTTTAGAATTTTTCCTTTTTACCCTTAATATCCCGACAATATCCTCCGCTTGAACATCAACCTTGTCATCAAAGTTGATTGAGAAAACTTTGTCTTCGGGGATCCCTTCCGTGGCAATCTCCTGCAAGACTATTACCGTTTTACTCGCGCAATGGTGTTTTGGGAAGTACTGGTCTCTACACATGTAACAAACAGTCTTTACTTTTCTAGTTTTTATGTCTCTTCCTGCGACTCGGAGCGGTTGATCATAATTTTAAGATATTTTCGACAATTTAGCATTCTTCTCCATGAAATATAAACTTCGAAATATTTACATAACAGATTGTTCATATAGTAAGGCCTATTCGAATGCTTGATTAAGCGTTTACGGCTTGAGGAGTTTTAGCATGGGCTGTAGTTATGACTTGAGACTACTAATAAAGGTGAATATGAAATTTTTTTCTAAAAGTGTTAGGTTATCTGCATTTATGAGAGAGCGTAAATGTTCATATTATTCTAGATAGCCGAGAACAATATCAGTTTGGGATAGTTTGGTGAATTTCTCTATGAAATCATTTCAAGATGATCCCTCAAATCTAGGGCAGAGCTCTTCTACAAAATATTCCTAATATATGACATCAATTTTGGCTTGCCATCCACAATACCATATGTCAACAACTTCTTTTAA